CCCCAATGAATTATTATAAATTTTATAAATAAAAAATATTAAAAAATAAATTATAAGATAGTTTAAATTGAAAACAAATAATAATAATAATAATAATAATTAGCATATATAATAATGTCAGATAAAAAAAAAAAAAAAAAAAAAAAAAAAAAAAAAAATTATTTTTTTTAATTTTCTAATTTCATTTTTACTATTGTATTTTTCTTTAAATTATATAGTTATTAATTCCTCTTCAAATGGAGATGGATTTACACTAACCGTAGCATAAACAATATCACGAATAAATTGATTCATATATTCTACTGTATATGCTGAAGTTGCAGTAACTCTAAATCTTGGATATCTTAATGGACAAGCAGGATAAACTACAGCAGAAATCATCCAATTCATTTTTAACAAAACATTACCAATTTTAAATAATCTATCAGGATCATTAGGAAAAATAACAGGTATAACACTAGTAGCATCATCTCCTTCTATGATATATTTATAACTTTCTGGATAATCTTTTGGCCAGTAACCCATACCAGTCTTTAATCCATTTCTTAAATATTTTGCATTAAATTTAAGTTTTTCTATTCTCCATGGTTGAGAATCAATTAATTCAAAAGCTTTCATTGCACCTCCTGCATTGTAGGCTGGTAAAGGAGCAGAAAAAACATTACCTATACAATGGAAATCTAAAAATTCTATTACATCATCAGATGCCACTATATATCCTCCTACCCCTCCTATAGTTTTACTGAAGGTTCCAACAATAATATCAGCTGCTCCATGCATATTGAAATGTTCTTCTAACCCCCTTCCTGTTTTTCCTAATACACCTAAACCATGAGCTTCATCCAAGTATATCTTTGCATTATGTTTGATGCATAATGTTTTAACTGTCGGTAAATCAGCTATATCACCATCCATTGAATAAACTGACTCAATGCACACCCAACAATTTCTATATTTCTTTCTATGTTTGAGTAGTAATAATTCTAAATGATTAAAATCATTATGTTTAAATATAAAATTTTTTGCACCACATACTTGTATTCCCATTTTTACACATGCATGAGTACGACTATCAGATAAAACTAAATCTTCTGGGGTTGCAACCGCTGCTATTCCAGACATACATGCTAAAAATCCACACACAGCTAAAATTGAATCATTTCTACCAAAAAATTTAGCAACAATTTTTTCTAAATCCCTTAATATTTGACTATTTCCACCCAACATCCTTGGACCATGATTTCCTGTAGACCATTTCATTGCTGCTTCTATTGCAGCATTTTGAACTAATGGTTCTCTTACAAAATCGAGATAAGAATATGAAGATATTGGTCTAGCTTTAATATTTTCACATATGATAAACTCATTTTTAACATCCGATACCTTCCACATAAAACACCATCTATTTAATCTAATTACTTCTCTTTTTGCATCTAAATAACTTTGCATTTCAGATTCATCCTTCTGAATTGGTAAATTGTACTTTTGCTTTACTAACATATAAAATAAATGCCTTTTAGACTCTGATATGTACTTTAAAACTAATAAATTCTTATATAATACTATTTTTTTTATTATATCTCTCGTCTTTTTTTTTAATAAATTTAAAAAGTTTCCTTCTGATATAGACTCTTTTAATTCAATAAATAGCTTATATAAAGAAGTAATAAAAGTATGTAATTTATTATTTTTTTTATTAAACAATTTATTCTCTACATTAGGATTTATAGTAAAAATAGATTGTTGTATTGGTAAGAATTCTCCTAATACCCATGACAATCTTGGAGATCCTGCTGATGCATCTTCATTAAATACAGCTAATACTAAAGCCAAAAGGACAATACCTGCTATTAGATAATTTACAATATCAAAATTTCTTAATATATCTAAACCTGCATAATAGTTGTAATTCATTAATCTTTTCAGAAACATTTTATTTTTCACTATTCTTATTCTTTTCTTAATTTTTATATCCTTTAAATTTTATAATTTATTCAGTTACACTTTTTCCTTTTTTTTTTTTTTTTTTTCCCCAATGAATTATTTTAATTTTTTAAATAAAAAGAGATTAGAAAAGAGATGTATTTTTATTATTAATATTAAATTAAAAATCTATATAAACATATAAAAAGTTGTCTCATTATATCCATAAATAAAAAAAATTATTTTGTTTGTTAATAACATATAAATAAATAGGTGTAACTAAAAAAGTTCATAAAAACAAAACAAAGTTATACATTAATAGAATTAAAAACAACTACTTAAAAATTACCATAAAATAAATATGTATATATAAAAAAAATAGTTAATTTTTTATTAAATAAATTAATTTCCCTTTATCATTTACAAAATATATCAACATATCAATGTATGATTTAAATACACATGTATAGATTATATAATTTTTTATATGCAATGTGTAGTATATAAGAAAAATTAAAGGATTTTTTATTAAAATAAAATTAAATTAGTTTTATAAAAATAAATACATAAAAAAAAAAAAAAAAAGAAACTTTAAAATTCTTTAATTTTTATTCATAATGATATCATATTGTGCCTCATTTTTGTAGAAAATTATATAGATAAACGAAATTTAAATAAATAAAAAATTATCAATAGTAATATCTCATTTATGTGGTATTTACGAAGAATACCTTGTTGCATTTGTATCTCTCTAAATTAAAAAAATACACATAAAAAAAGAATTTAAAACATAAAAATATATTATGATAATCTATTTTAAATTAGTAGGAAAAAAAAAAAAAAAAAAATGAATAAATGTACTACTTGAATTAACAATAATTTTTTTAATATTAATTTAAAAAATAGTGTGAATTAATTCAGTCATACAATAAAAAAGAAAAGTTATAAAAAAACATCCACATAAATGAAATTATATGTATTTATATATATATATATACGTATATATATAAATATATATATAGGTATATATATATATATTTTTAACCATATAAAATTATATTTTTATTAAATAACTTTCTTTTTAATTCACGAAAAAAAAAACAAAAATTTTACAAAAAATAATGCACGCACTGAAAAAATCTTAAAATCTGATTAAATGAAAGAATAAGCTTTAGTTTTTTCGTAACTTTTATGAATTTATGAAAATTTATAAATGAAAAACATAAGCTTAAAAATAAAAATTAAATATAAAGTTTGCATAACGAAAAATAAGAAAAAAAATTTTTAAATTAATTTCAAAATAATTTGTATAAAAAATTACATACAAACGAAAAAAAAAAAATTATTTGCATATATATATATATCTTAATCACACACATAAATTATTAAAAATTTCTTTTTTTAAATTTTTCATTCAATTACATAAACACTTAAATATAAATTCTTATAAGGCTATGATTTATTAAATATTTTTTCACAAGTATCACAATGTATGAAAAATAAAAAACAAATATTTCAATTTTTTTGTAAGACAATAAAAAAAAAAAAAGCTTATAATTTTTAAGATAATTTATAAAACATTGTCGATATATAATTTATTTTAATAAGCTGCAATAATAATCATAGAAAACACAAACAATAATAAATATTGCGAACTTTTCATTAAATTACATATAAATGCTATAAAGAAATATAGAAAATGTAAGCACAAACAAAAAAAAAAAAAAAATAAAATAAATAAATAAATATATATATATATAAGGAAAAAAAATACTTTTAAAAAAATAAAGACATCATAGGTAGAAGAAACTAATTCTTCAGGTAAAGCTGAGTGGAATTATAAAAAAAAAGAATTTTAAAAGGATAAATTAATTTATATAAAATATCTTCATTTTTAAATAAAAAATAAAAATAATAAAAATTGAAGTTAAAATTTTATATACACTTATTTTAGAAGTAATAAATTATTAGCTTATACTTTTCGCTTTAAATGAAAACTTATGTAGAAATAAAGGAAGAAACAAAATCTTAAATGGAATAAATATATAATAAAATATTAATAAAAATATATTTTATGAATTATGAATGTTAAAATTTTTCTTTTTCTAGTATAATAATGTACTTAAAGTATGTAGAACGTATATAATTTATTTATGTAAATTTTGTCAATTATGAAAGAATCAAAAAAAAAAAAATAGAAAAAACTATTTGAATAAAGTTATTTTACTAACATTTTTGAAAATATTTTAAGATATAAATCAAAAGGTAAAAAAAAAATTTTTGAAATAAATTTGATTTATTGAATAATTAAAAATAATCTTTGAAATATGTAATTAAATTATAAATCCTTCTTAAATTTTTCTATAAAGGATCATCATGTTATTTTATTCTGGAAAAAAACACAAAAAATTTTTTATTTCTAAAAGTTATAAGAACACTATTTCTTATATAAATAAAAAAAGAGTGTATATATATATATATATAAATATATAGCATGTAAGTGAAGAATTGAAAATATTTTATATTTATTTTGTTTGCTTAATAAATAATTTTTCTTTTGTTAATATATCACATAAAAAAAAAATATTAATCCAATTATTTTAACATTACAAAAAAAAAAAAAAAAAAAAAAAAAAAAAAATTAAACATAGTATCTTAATTAGTTTTATTTTCTTTTTAACTTTTTTTTTTTTTTTTTTTTTTTCCTGTTATAAAACTCTTCTAAGAATATTTTATTTATAATTTTTGTAATTTTCATCAATTCTCTATTCCAAAAATGAGGAAATGCAATCTTAAAATAATTTAATATAAAAATTTAGTCAATTCTTGTAAAGCATAAAATTTGTTTATGTGAAATAACATTATTAGGAATATTTTTATAAAAATATATTTTAAAAAAATATAGAGTATAAAAGTGTATTAATACAATATTAAAATATAAGTATATATTTACTTGGTTATTTTTATTTATATTTTTATTTGATCATATTTTTTTTTTTTTTTTTATGAACCTAAAATTTTTAAATTAAATTTGAAAAATTATAATATTTTACGATGAAGTATTTTAATTATAGGTTAAATATAATATATAATTCTGGGGGAAAAATACATTTGTTGTAACAATTTAGATATATTTTCTAAAAAATTCTGAAACAGTTAAAAATTATACTTAAGAAATATATTTTTTTTTTTTTTAGTTTTATATTAATATAATGCAACATTTATATTAAGATAAAAAATTACATAAAAGTATTAAGAAACAAACTCATGAAATGTAACAAATAATTTAAAGAGTTTTGAGTTATATATATTTTGGTGTTTACAATAATTTACCTGTGTTTAAAAAGAAATTATGACTTTTTTTTAAGAATAAAAAAAACATATAATTTTTTTTTTTTTTTTTTTTTCAACTCACTTTAAAATATCTTTTTATAAGGATGTATGACAAGAAATTTTATTTAAAATAATTTTTTTTTTTTTATAAAAAAGAATTATAATTTTTTTTTCATATTAAGTTCTATATTTTTGTTTTATTAAAATGTTAATATATATATAATATTTTTTCTATTTTTTTTTTTTTTTATTGTATTAATCCTAACTCTTTTAAATTAAAAAGTTTTTTTTATTTTTTTTTTTTTTTTGGTATATTAAAACTGAAATAAATGATATGTAGAAAAGTTATATTTAATAATTCATTAAAATTACTAACAAATAATATAAAAATGAAAGTAAATAAAGCTTATCACACTAATAATAAATCAACAAAAATTTTGAAGAACGTAAATGAAATGATAAATAAAAAGAATAACAAAAGAAATATAAGTACTACAAAGATAAAAAATGGTAATAAAATGAACATGATATTATATAAAAAACATGGACAACATTTATTAAAAAATCCAGGTATATTAGATAAAATTATAATGGCTGCAAAAATAAAAAGTTCTGATATAGTTTTAGAGATTGGTTGTGGTACAGGTAATTTAACTATAAAGTTATTGCCGATAGCGAAAAAAGTAATAACTATAGATATAGATGCTAGAATGATAAGTGAAGTAAAAAAAAGATGCTTATATGAAGGATATAATAATTTAGAAGTTTATGAAGGTGATGCAATAAAAACTGTTTTCCCGAAGTTTGATATTTGTACTGCTAATATTCCATATAAAATATCTAGTCCACTTATTTTTAAATTAATTGCTCACAGGCCATTATTTAAGTGCGCAGTTTTAATGTTTCAAAAAGAGTTTGCTGAAAGAATGCTAGCAAATGTTGGTGATAGTAATTACAGTAGATTAACAATTAATGTAAGACTTTTTTGTAAAGTTATTAAAATATGCAATGTTAATAGAAGTAGTTTTAATCCTCCACCAAAAGTCGATAGTATTATTGTTAAGCTTATTCCAAAAGAAACTAATTTTTTAACAAATTTTGATGAATGGGATAATTTATTAAGAATTTGTTTTAGTAGAAAAAGAAAAACACTTCATGCTATTTTTAAAAGAAATGCAGTTTTAAATATGTTAGAACATAATTATAAAAACTGGTGCACTTTTAATAAAAAGGTTCCAGTTAATTACCCATTTAAAAATTATTGTTTAGATATTTTAAAAGATCTAGACATGAGTGAAAAAAGAAGTATAAATTTAGATGAAAACGATTTTTTAAAATTATTATTAGAATTTAATAAAAAAGGAATACACTTTTTTAATATTTCTAATGTTAAAAATAGTGAAATATATAATATTCATTTAGATGATGAAGAGGATAATGAACAAGAATTAAATGAAAAAAATTTGTAATGATATATATTTTGAAAAATCTCACTTTTAAATTTTAAAAAAAAGTATTTTTAAATATTAAATCAAATATATTAAATATAAATTATGTAAAAAAAATGATAAAATAAAGAAAAAACTCATTTAACAATTTATTTGTGTAATTAAATACATTCTTTAATTTTTTTTTTTTTTTTTTTTAATTTTTTAACTAAACAAAATACAACAAAAAAAAAAAAATAAAATAAAATAAAATAAAATAAAAATAAAATTAAAATAATATAAAAAATTCTTATAAAAATAAGCCATATTTGCAAACAAAGACAACGCAAATGTGTATAAAAATATATATTTTTTTTTAAAAATTTTAATTATAATATGATGATTTTTACCCATAATAAAAATTAAATTTTTGTTAAAAAGTTAATAACTTTTCATCTTAATAAAAATTCCTTTTACCATTATCCTATATCTAACATTTTTGATTTACAACATGAAGAATCATCATGTATTTTTTTACAATTTAATGAACAGTAATATCTTATATAAGATTTTGGTTTATGTTCATAACACTTCAAACATTTGTACTTTCCTTCAAATCCACAAACAATACAAAATTTTCTTCTAATTAAAGAAGTACTTCCTCCACTAACTGTAGTCCAACAATAACTTTTCATTCTATAGAAAAAGTGAGCAAAATGAAAAAATAAAAAAAAAAATAAAATAAAGAGTATAGAATTATAGAATATAGACAATAATATAATATACATATATATAAACTTAATTTTTAACTTAATATATGCGATTTTACGTATATAAATATATATTCTATTTTTTCTGATAAAATATTCTACTTATTTAAATGTACACTTTTTTTCTTAAATTCAATTTTTATTGTAAATTAATTATTACTTAAAAGCATCAGCCTCATCTTGAGCTAGTATTAAATTTATATCAACTTTTTCTCTTTGTTTAAATTTACATGAAACGTTTCTATTCAAACTAACAGTATTATTTGTTATTTCGATATCATCATTATCTTCACTATCTGATCCCTTCTTCCTTTTTCTTTTTTTTACATTTTTTATATTTTTTTCAAGACGCTTTCTTCCCATTAAAAATAAATTTTAATAAATTATTTCCTGATTTGTTCTTTTTTTTTTATAATAAAAAGGAGTTAAGCATACTATTTCATTAATAAAAAAGCCAAAAAGAATTAGTAACAAAAAAAAAAAAAAATTAAAGCATAAACATTAAGCTATATTAAAAGAAAAATATAAAGTTGAATTCATAAAATCAATTTATGTAAAAAAAAAAAAAAAAAAAAGGAAAAAATGGATTAATAATTCACAAATTAAAAAAAAAAAAAAAAAAAAATAGTACAAGAATTCTTTTCATATGAAAATTATTAAAGTTTTAAATTATAAATTATTTCTCTTAAAATATTAAAATAAAAAAAAAAAAAAAATAAAATATAATAAAATATAATAAAATATAATAAAATATAATAAAATAAAAAAATAAATAAATAAAAAAACACTGAGTATAAAAACGAAAGATATTAAATTGATATAAGAAAATGAAACTAGAAAAAATGTTTTAATATATATTAATTTTATATATACATAAATTAATGCTATTAATACGAATTAATAATAAAGTAATATTTTTTAAGTTAAAATTTATATATTGCTAATATTAATATATATTTTCTTTTATCAATGTTTTATTCAAATTATCATGAATAACTCGTGTATATATTAATTGCCTACTTAAATAGTAATATTTTTAATAGTATTAATTTTAATACCATTAAATAATACTCTCTAATTATTTTTCTTTATTCTTCATTTAAAGATATTTTCTAAAGTATTCATGCTTATGAATAAAAAATTTCTCTTATTATTTTAGAATGGTGTGTTTGTGTGTAAATATTTATTATATCTAAAAAAATACTGAGAAAGGTATACGAAAAAAAAAAAAAAAAAAAAAAAAGAAAGAAAAAGAAAAAGAAAAAAATAAAACAGAAGATTGAATTATACAAATACATAAAGTTCTTTGGAAATGTAGAATTATAATTTTAGATAAACAGAAAATTCGTTTAAATAAAAAAAAAAAAAAAAAAAAAACATAAAAAATTATCAACTTCATGTTACAATAAAAATAGTAAATGAAAATTACTATTATTTTTTTTAAGATTAATCAAAAATGCCAAAAAATACATAAAATTAATAATTTGATTGATATTTCAGTGAAAAAAAATTTTTTTTTCCTTTGTCTTTTCACGTTTTTTATATTTATATTTTTCTTTTTTCTACTTTTCCTTTTTCTTCTTCAATTTTTATTTTTAATACATTTTTTCTTTAAGAAAAAATAAAATCATTATCATAAATAATGAGTGAAAAGTATTCAATTTTTGTATGAATAATTCAAAGAAGAGTAATAAAAGTTCTCAAATAGAAAGTGAATATGAACATCCAAAAAATTACAACATTTTGTTTTCTTATTTCTTATCTAGTTTTTTGTCATATTATATGGAATGGGTGTTATAATATATATTCCACTTCTGAAGATGAAATGTATAACATATTATACTCTAAAAAAAAGGAAGGTATATCATTAAAAGTGGATACCAAGAAGAACATAAAATTAAAAGATATAAAAAATCTTTACATGAAATCAACACCTTGTCCTGTCTTACCTAGGCCATTTAGTATAATTTATTAAAAAATTTAATAAAAAAAAAAGAAAAGAAAATGTATTAATAGGAATAAATTTAGAATTTTCAGCTTAAAATAATTTTTTATAAAAAGAAAAAATATAATATTTTATAACTTCCTTTATTTTAGTTAATTTATATTTATTATTTATTTATTTTTTTTTTTTTTTTTATTTCTTAGAATCTATTTTTCACTTAAATTGGTTTAGAAAATCATCAGAGTTAATACCTATAAGTATACAGCTATATTCTATGTTTGAAGAAAAAAATAATTTCTTAGGATTTATTCTTTTATGCTCTGCAATTTTTACAATTATTGAATGGGTGTATATTGCGTAAGAAATGAAATAAAGTTTTTAATGAATGTTCATGTAAAATGTAATTCAATGTTGTATTTTTATTTAATTTTTTTTTTTAATTTTTTTTTTTTTTTTTAGCTATTTAGCTTGTGTGTTATTATGGGATGGAGTTATTAAACCTCTATTTAAAATTTTATATATATTAATTTCAACTTACATGATTATAAGATTTGTAGTCATACTTTTACCATATACCAAGTCTTATATATCTCAAGAAAATTATAATTACATATCGTCATTTATATTAAATTTTTATAATTTAATCACCAAGGTAAGCATATAATTTTAATAATTTAAAAGGAATTTATTTTTTTTTTTTTGTTTTTGTACTCTATTCATATTGATTTAAACTATTTTTTTTTTTTTTTCTTATATGTTTACATGTAATTTTTTTTTTTTGTAAATTTTTTGTTATTACCTTTTACTTTTTTAATTATGAAACATTATCCCATTATATGTTTTGTAAAAATATTATTTTAACTTCTTTTTTATTTTTCTTTTTAAAGATCTCAAAAGAATTAGGTAATTTAATGAATAAAGTAATTCAAGAGAGCGTAGTAATTAATAAAGAACTTTAAATGTTACAAAAACAAAAACTTATAAATAGAGAAATAATTGTTCTATTTCTATATAATGAAAACTTCAAGCATTTTAAGGATAGACAATTATATTTGAAAATTGAAATAATCTATTATAGTTATAAAAAATTGAATTTTGTAAAATTTTAACTTTAGAATTTTTGTTTCAAAATTTAAAAAACTTTTAAATTATTTGGTTCTCTTTACTTTTAAATATACTTTTTAATGTTTTCAATACATTTTTTTTTTTTTTTATCTTACACTTATATTTGAATGAATGAATAAATATTAATTTTTTTTATATTTTTATAATATAAACTTCATAATAATATTTTAATATATATAATTTCATTTATTAAAAATATATATATAGATGAACAAATTAATGGTAGTCATGAATTTTTTATACACACAATTATTTGTTAAAAATTAAATTTTTTCTAAAATGAAAACAAAATATTTTTTTTTATAAAAAAGACATAATAAAAGGAATACATATATCTTTAGTTTATACAAATAATATTAATAAAAGTATATATATATAAAAAAAAAAAAAAAAAAAAAAAAAAAAAAGAAAAGAAAAGAAAAGAAAAGAAAAGAAAAGAAGTTTTATGTATATGTAAGCAAATAAAAGCTTTAATAAGAAAAAATATAATGCAAATTTTAAATCAACAAAAAAAAAATTTGTAACGTCATATAATCTTTTCATATTCAAAAATAATATGAAAAAATATGGCAAATAATACTTAAAAATAAAAAAAATAATAATAAATTTCAACAAAAAAAATATATATATATATATATTGTAATGAAATAATAATCAAAATAAAGAATAAAAATAAAATAATAAATAAATAAAGATAAATATATATGTATACTTATATAAATTCTTTTTTGAAATAATTAATCTGATTCATCTTCTTTAGTACTTTTATCATTTACTTTTTGTATATGTTTGTAAAAATTATAAGAATTTTTAGCTACATAAAAAAAAATTTTATTAATATATGATAATGCTTCTATATTTCCATTATATACACAAGTAGATATAATAAGAATAAATGCTAAAATAAATGGTATAATTATATTTAATTTAAAAAAAAAACGAGTAAATGACAGAATTTCATTCCATCCAAATAATAATAAAATAACCCAAAATAATAAAGGAATGTTCTTTAAACTCATTTTTCCTCCTGTTTCTTGTATATATTGTGCATCTCTACACAATTCTTGCATTTTTTTTTTTGCTTTAATTTTTCCTTTTTCTATTACCTCTTCTTTTATAATATTATTTGGTAAATAATCATCAATAATTTCTACTTTTATATTTTTTTGAAGAATTTCAATTATTAAAAAAGCATAATTTTTAGACTCACGAAAAAGCTTTTTTAACTCTAACATAGAAATATCTTTCCACTGTCTTGGCTGTTCAGCTTCATCATAATTAAATACTAATTCAAATCTTTGTATAAGGATACGAGATAAATTTTCTGATATTTCAATAAAATTATTTTTTAAAACATCAATTATTTCTTCTAAATAAAATTTTTTCAAATCATTCATAAAATCTATATTTTCCATTTGCTTATTTACTTCCTCATTTACAACACTTATATATTTTTCCTTATTTTTAATTGTGTTAATTTTTTTTGTATTATAAAGATTTTTGTCATAATTATTTTCTTTGTTACTTAACGATAAATATAATTTCTCTCTTTTTTCATTATTATATATTTCACTTTTTTTATCATTCTCATCATAGAAATAAATTTTTGATAGTTCATTATTTTTAAGATTTATAAAACATTTAGTTAAATTAGTATTAATATTCTCTTGTAATTTTGTAACTATATTTAATATAGCATTCCAATATTCTTCAGTATTTTTTGAAATAATCAATAATGTATCAATAGACTTAAATCTACTTTTAATAGTAGATCTTACTTTATCTAATAAAAGATTATATTGAATATTTTTAATTCTATTTACATCCTTATATATTGAGGTGAATAATGTGTTCAACGAAGATTTATAGTTAAATTCATGAATAGTTTTTTTTTTAATTTCAATATTGCATTTTTCGTAATTTTCAAAAAAATTACAAAGAGTTTGGTATTCTAGTATATCTGAGTTATGTAAAAAATTAGCCCATAAATAAATACAGTTATGATTCTCTTCATTTCTTTCCTTCTGTGAAAAATGGTTTCCTTCTTTTGTATTTAAATATGATTCTTTATCAAATAAAAAAATGCTTTTATCAGTTGAACAAACTTTATATAAATTATTTAATTCATTAAAAAATTTCACTGATAATTCCCTTTGTACAAAATTTAAATTATTATCAACAATTAGTTGTAACTGTATATATAAATTTTCTAGTAATTCTTCAGATGTTTTTAAGCATATACTTTCTTTATATCTTGAAGCATCAGACAAATATTCATTTAAACATTTCTCTATAACTTCATTTTCTGCCCATTCCTTAAAATTATCTATGGGTTTATTATGAGATAACTCTATTTTTTCTTTAATTGTTTTATTTATATTATTAATAACATTATTCTTGATTTCTTGACATCTAAAAGTTGCCAACATCTCTTTTTGGGATGGAATATCTAATTGTGATTGTTTTACAATAGTATTCCATATGTTATTGCAATATTGAGCAAAACCATCGGAAGGAATATTTCTAGAATATTGTAAAGGTTTTAATTCATTAATCCACTTTTTTCTTAAATTATTTACATCTTTTATAAATTCTTCTTTTTTAATTATTGCATGTGATAAGCCAACTACTTCAATAATAAAAAAGTTACTAATGTTAATACTTTCTAATTCATTTGGTTTTTTCATTTCTTTCCAAATTTTATTTAAATAATCTTCTATTATTTTACTTTTAACTATCTCTATTGATGCAAAATCTTCAAACCAATCTCTTACTGCAAATAATAAAATAGTTTTGGGACAATTTTTATCTTGTTGAAATAATTCTAAATTTACTTCCATTACAGTTTTTAACAACCCATAATTGGAAGCTGTGAAATTTCCTAATGAATGATACCATAAATTAACAATTACACAATCTGCTAATGCTAAACAAAATAAGGCTGATCTATGTTCAAAAGTCAATCTGTTATCTCCTCTTTCTTTCGAATCAGTTCCTTCTACATCAAGTATTAAAGTTGGTGTAATTTCATTTTTTTCTCTTTTATTCTCATTATTTGGATAATTTGTATCATTATATATTTTATTTTCTATATTATTTGTATTAACAACACACGAATCTTCCTGAAACATTTCGTAACTTAACCATAAACCTTTTGTTGTTTGACTATGTCCTTGTTTTGTATTCATTACATCAAAACATGTTTTAAATAAATGATTTAATAATGTACTTTTACCACTACTTTGACTACCTAATATAGCTATTACATTATAATCAAACCCTAAATTTGATAATTTATTTCTACACATCCATGCTTTTAAGTCACCTATTATGTTCCCATCATAATCAATTATTTGAGTTATCATATCGCTCTGCATTTTCATTTTACAAATTATAAACTCTTTTATTGCTACTTGTATATTTATATTTCTCAATTTTGTTATCTCAGAATATACACTTATTTCTTATATAATTTTGTTAAACTTAAAAACTTTTACACACATATCTTTTTTTATAGAGCAATTTTGACTTTCTATTTCAAAAATGTAAATATGCATAATTTTTATTTCATAATAAATCAAATTGAAAATATATAATGTAATTCATTGAAATATTAAATAACAATTTAAAATTAATACAATTATAATTATTTAATTCAATAATAAAAAAAAAAAAAAAAAAAAAAATTAGGGGCATATCATTTTAATAAATGTTTTATTATAGCTATTTATTGTTTTAATTCTGAATTAACAATATAATTCATCCAAGAAGCAGTTTTCTTTTTATGCTAGTTAGAAATACAAAATATATATATATTCTCATGAGATGCACTTTTGTACAAATTTTAATTTTTTATATTTTAAGTGGTAAATATATTTTTCTTTCAAACATCAAAAAAAAAAAAAAAAAAATAATATAATATAAAAAAAAAAAAGAAAATATATTTTTATCAAAAATGAATAAAAACAAAATTATTTGATTGGGAAATAATTAGAAAAAAAAATTAAATTTTTTATATAAATAAGATACTTTTTTTTTTTTTTTTTTTTTTTTTTTGAAGTATGTAGTATATTTATATTAATCTATTTTTTTAACACAAATATATTCAATTATTTATTTCAAGTTATTTTTGATATATTAAATGAATATGTGTATCCATAAAATTTATAAAGTTTTGCACAGTTGAAATTAAAATGATTTTTTTTTTTCATTTTTATATTTGCTTGTTTAAAAAAAAAATTATAATCTCACAAAATTTTAGTTTAATAAGAGATAATAAATATGAAATGCTTTTTATTCAGGTTTTCAGAAGAATTTTTATATTTTTCTTTTATATATTGTATATTTTTCTTAATTATGGGAATTACTGATATAAAAGAAATATGTAATAATAATAAGAAATGACATCTTAATTCGTTAATACAATAATTGTATTTGTTATTATAATTAATTATAGTAGTGATATATGATATAATACCAATAATAAAAGAAACATCATTAAACGTATGAGATTTCATATATAAATAAAATATATAGATAATTATTTGAAAAATTTACATAGTAATATTAATAAATTGTATAACAATTACTACAATTATGTTATTGTTACAAGACTTAAAACAGTTTTACACTTAAAAAAAATAAAATAATTTTTAAATATTAAACATCCTAAAAGTACCAAAAGTTCCTTGAATTATAACTATTATTTTAATTATATTCTTTAAATAACTATATATATTTAAATTTAGTAATATCACTTTCACTTATTTTATAAACATTTTATAAAAAAAAAAGATGTTGTATGTTTTCATTACAAATTTTTTAATATTCTTTTTATTACAAATGCTTTCTTTGATTCACTTTAAATTAAAAATAAACTGACACATTAAATAATACAATAAACCTAAAATTCTTAAACACATATAAATTTTTGTCTTTTTCTTTTTTGTTACATTTGTATTATATAAATCTTTATATAATTTTTCCTTAATATATACAACTATGTCCTTTATTATAAAAGTTTTTAATATTTTTATTATCATATTTAGTTAAATTTGAAAAATAAATAAATATTAAATAAATAAAAAAATTTATAATTACAAAAATTATTATGATCTTAAATAGATTTAATTTTTAAAAAGCACATTTAAGAAAAAAAAAAAAAAATTAATATATTTAAAAATTAAATATTAAATATTAATATATTAAATAATGAAAAATTAGCATATTAGTAGAAAAAAAAAAAATAATAATATTAAAGAAATATTAATATTAAAAAAAAAAAAAAAAAAAAGGAAAAAAGATAATTATTATAATATATTTAGAAACAAAAAATAATGTTACAAAAAACTTAAAAAAAAAAAATTAACGAATTAAAAAAAATAAAATATTTAAAATTATTAAATTATATATATAAAATTAATATTTTAAATTATAGGAATTTTTAATTTGATCATTTTGTTCTGTAAAATATTTAGAAGATGCAGTATTTATTAATGTCGAATTTAATGATAATGATTTTCTATTTCTAAGAGTATTTTTATTAATCTCCTCCCAAGCTTTATTAACATTTAAAAAAGGATATAAATCGGAATTAATAAAATTGTATTTATTATTTTGAAAATGTATATTTTTTGAATAATGAACAAAATAATTATTAATAGTAGCATTGGCCCCTGGATGTATAGTAAATTCTGGTTTTTGATTTAATTTTTTTAATTTATTATTTTTTACATATTGTATTTTTTCTTGGATAAGGTTAATTAAATTTTTTAAAGTCATTGGTAAAAATTTTTGGTTATTTTTTTCAAAAATGTTATTTTTTAATTCTTTTTCTTTAAACTCCATAATTGCTTCAATGAAGCAGTATGTAAATACACCATGGCTAACAAGAATATAATTATCATCTTTATCCTCACCAGTATTTTCTTCACTATCGTCTGTGTTAACAGACATATCACTATTATTATCACTACCACTATATATAGAATCCTTCAAATCATTATAGCTATTATCAGAGTATAATTTCTTAGATTTATCTTTTTCTTCAAACTTTTTTACATTTTTATTTTCCATAGAATCGTTTTTGTTATTATTAAAAAATTTTCTCATCATACTTAATGAGAAATTAAAATTTTTCTCGTAGAAACTTTTTTTTTTCTTTAATCCTTCCTCATTTGATAATATTTTTTGGCTGTTTTTTTTTTTTTCTCTTTTTTTTTTTGTACTTTTATTTTTGTTATCATTATCATAATTGTTAGTTTTTTTTAGCTGTTTTACTCTTGCAAATTCAATAATAGGAAACAATCCTTCTATTGAAATTTGCTCCCATGTCGCTGCACACAAACAATAAGCTTTGGGGGCAATGGGTAATGAAGAAATAGATTGTAATAAGGGATCAATCATAGCAGCAGTTGATTCAACCTCTATTAATTCGGAAAATCTTGATTTGCAAAAATATTTTTTCATAGTACTATTATTCAATATAGTTATATCATAAACAGCTTTATGCACTTTATCGGTAGGATTAGTAATTGGCCATATACCTTTTTGCTTACATCCTTTTATATATGACCATGAATTTTCCGTTCCCGCAGGATCTAATATGGTCTGCCCACCTGAACAATCTAAAATTATAGTCATCTGAGAATTTGAGTTTATACTTAATAATAAATCTTTTAATTGAACAGCTGTTATTACATTATGTTCATAATTTTTATTAAATGGGTCAGAACATAAAAATGCTTCATCATATCCTTCTCCTTCCCATCCACTCATATTATCTACCTGAACACTTTTTCCAGCAAAATAAAAAACATAAGAACCAAATGGAACGGAATCTCTAACTAGCCAATTTACTGCTTTTAATATATTTATTCTTGTTGGCCATAAGTTTAGATTAATATTTTGAGATGATATATCAACATTTTTTATATCAAAGTTTTTACATGAATTACATAAATTAATCTCTACGTTTTTTTTATTTTGATTATACATCCCACTTTTATTAAATAGTTTGAAAATATTTCTTTTCACATCTTTTCCATCATCAATGGAACTATTATTTGCTTCTTTTATATACTTCATTCTATTTATATCAAAATCATCATATATGTAAGCATTTGATGGCAAGCTATCTGTTAATAATAAAATATTTTCGGGTGCAAAATCAAAATATTTTACCAAAGCTCTGCAAAAAACATAAGCATCATTTGCGCATCCGTAAAGTCTTGTTTCTTCTTCATTTACATAATTACAACCAATAACTACTGCTTTTTTTACAATATATTTTGTGTCTATTTCAAAGTTTTCTTCTTTGAAATTATTTATATGCTCATGCATTTCTGTATCTAACTTTTTTTTTCTTAAATTATGATTTCTAAGGGAAGCAGTGCGATGAAATTTTGTTAAACTTTTCGTATCAATATTTCTTAAGTAATTACATATTTTACTATTATCAAATGATTTACATGACTCTAGTCCTTTTCTTTCATTGTTACTATTTATTCTATTTAAATTTAATAGTACTGTTTTAGATAAATAATTTTTATTTTCATTTTTTAATGTTTTTAAGGTAATTTTGTTATTATTACATAATGTATTATTATTCATCATTTTTCTATTTAACATATACATTGAATTAAAGGAATCTTTATTTGATAAATTGTTACTTAGAAAATTATTAGTAGTTTCGGGAATATTATTTTTATTTAATGAATTAGCACCATTACTCACAGTACTATTTAATATACATGTATTTGATAATTTTTTATTATTATTTTGTAAACTTTTATTTATAGAATAAGTATGTGATATATTACTATTATTAATTATTTTGTTATTCAATATATTAGTAGTAGTAATAATATTTTTGTTTAACAAAAACTTTTTATTAAATATATCATGTGTTGAATTATCCCTATGCAAAGGAATATTAATAGTATTCATATTTAATGAATTAGCATTTTCTTTGTTTTCGTTATTCATAATAAAATTATTAGTTGCATTATTTTGATGCAACAAAATATGGAATTTTTTATTATTATCTAATAATTTTTCTTCTTTTAAAATTTTAACATAAGAATAATAATTATCACGTAAACAACTATTTAATGAACCTTTTACAGCATTTTCAGGTGGAAAATATGTATCTTCACTAAACATATAATTATTTGATTCATTATATTTATTATCATCATCTATAATCTTATTAATTATTTTATGTTTTAATTCATCTTCCTTTTCATAATTTACTTCATTCATATTTTTTAAGTTTATAGAATTTGCATTTTTATTCCATTTGCTAATTTTGTCATTATTTACTTTAATTACCTTATTACTATTTAAAGATAAATATGTTGATACACTAGATGATGTATGATTTCGTTCTAGGTTTTTTTCATCAAAAATTTTATCAGAATTATTATCCGTGTTTATTTTTTTTGTAATATTATTACTTTTTTCATCTAATTTTGATGATATTTTTAAATAATTATTATTATTTATTTCCTTGTTTAAAAGAGAATTTATACAAATCACGTTATCATTTGATATATTTTCATTTAATAATACATGTGATGAATCGATAAAATATTTTTTATTGTTTTCATTTTTAAAAATATCTGCTTGTTTACATTTATTACTAGTATTATCATAAGAAGCAATAAATGTTTTGTCATTCATTTTTACATTTATGTAATAATTATTATTCTGTTCATTAATAGAAGAATTATTTTTTATTATCTCTTCATTTAAACAATTATTTTTATTTGAATCAATTGTAATATAATGAATCTTTTCTTTATTATCATTTATATTGTTCTTAACATCGTTTATATTCATAAAATCTTTTTCATTATATAATGTAGATTCAATATTATAATTTTTTATATCTTTTTTATTCTCACAATTATTGTATTCACAAAATTTATTTATATTATCCATTCTAGTAATAACTTCCCTTTTATTTCTTGAATTATTCAAATAATCATTCATATCATTATAAATTGAGTTATTATAAACTTTTAATAATTTATATTCTTCACTGTTTGTGTTGTATTGTGCATTTCTTTTATAATTTAAAAAGTTTTCTTTTTTATTTATAGTTGTATCTTGGGTATTCTCTAAATTATTTTTATTCATATTTGTTATTTTTTCCTCTAAAATGTTGTCTGTATAAAAATGATTTGGAAGATCTACATCTTCCTTGTAATATAGAGGTGATGCATATTTATTATTGTCAATATTGCTATTAAAAAAATTTTTATTAGTGCAACATTTTTTTTGAGAGTTTAAATAATTTTTATTAATATATTTGTTATTTTTCATATTTTCTTCTAAAAATTCTATTTTATTTATAGTACTATTATGCAATGAATGATTACAATAATTACTGCATTTTAATTTTTGTTTCATATTTAACCCATCTGTATTAGCTTTATGTAATTTTAATTCATTTTTCTTGTTTTCATTTGTCTCAATATATAAGTCAGAATATATAATTTTTGTTTGTTCACTTTTATTATTGTTTAAATTGTAGGAACTTGTAATATTATTATATAAATGATAATTATTATTTTCACAATTTTTTTCGTTCATTAAAATATTATCATTATATAAAAAATTATTACAAGATGATATTTTTATATTTTTTTTTGGAAATCCAATATTATCTTTACTGTAGTAAGGTGGATAACCATTAATCAAAATTTCATTAAATTTATTAAACATATTTTCTGTAGAACTGTTATTTGTAATGTTATTATTAACGTTACCAACTATTATTTTTGATGAATCACATTTATATGTATTTGATATATTTAATTTATCATCATAATCATTTTTGTTACTTATATTATTATCTAAACTGTTATTACATTTAAAATTTCGCACTTTATTAAGATCGATGAGAACATTTGATTTAATTTCAGTATTTTTATTTTTAAAAGCATTATTTACAGAATTTTTTATGGTTGTTATGTCAGAATTCAAAATATGATTATCATGTATATTTTTATTCTCATATATATCTTCATTATTCATATAGGTATATAATAAATTATTACTTGCATTATTATACTTATTATCCATTTTAATATTTTTTCCATCACTATTTCTATATTCATTTATTATTCCTATTTTTAAATTATTTTTTTTTACATTTGTTTCAACGATATTCCTACTTCTTTTTGGTGTATTACTTCTATTTAAAAATCTACTTGTTATAATTCCATTTGTAATAGATTCTTGTGTTTTCAAATTTACAAATTTTTTTATATTGTATTTATTTTCATCATTTCTTGAGATACTCTGACTTCTATCTTTATTATAATCTTCATCTCTTGTGCATTTAATATTATTAGTTATTTTATTATTATATTTTTTTCTAAAAATATTTTTTTCGTTTAATTTTAATTTATCTTCTTCAAGATATTTGCCAATATTAAAATTTTTAGTTTGGCATTTTTTTAAATTTGAAAAATTATTTAATAAAGTGTTATTTTTGTTACAATACATATAAATTTCTTCATTTGTTTCTTCATTTTTCAAACTTATATTATCATTATAAGCCATCTTTTACTAAATTAATTAGGAAACCTTTTAATTAAAGAATTTATCAATATTTAAAGATTAATAATAAAAAATTAAAACAATAACAAAAAAAAAAAAAAAAAAAAAAAAAAAAAAAAAAAAAAAAAAAAAAAGGATAAAAAGTGAAAGAAAAAACAAAAATGACTGTTATTTTATATATCTATATGAGTATGTATTTTTTNAAAAAAAAAAAAAAAAAAAAAAAAAAAAAAAAAAAACAAAAAACAGAATAAAATAAAATAGGACAGAAAATGAAAAGAAAAAAGAAGGAAAAGAAAATAATAAAATCTAAAAAAAGAAAAATAGAAAATGTAAATAGAAAAAACAAAAAAAAAAAAAAAAAGGATAAAAAGTGAAAGAAAAAACAAAAATGACTGTTATTTTATATATCTATATGAGTATGTATTTTTTATATATATGGAGAATATAAAAAGTTCATTAGGTATATTTTTAATTTATATAATTAAAAATTTTTATTTTTTAAAACATTTTTATTACTCATATTTCCTTTAACATATTAATAAATAACGACTACCTTAAAAAAAAAAAAAAAGATATAGCAGACAAAACATCTAAAAGTTCTCCATTGATACAATATATATTTCCTTTAAAAATATTTATATATACATATATTTTTTTTTTTTATTCATAATTTTAATGCAATAAAGTGCGCATATAAATGTTTATTATTCTATACCTGAATTTACTTTTTTATTTTATTAGTTATTTTTCATTTTATATTCCTATTTTATTCAAATAAAAAAAAGATAATTTGACAAATTAACCGCGGGACAAAAATTCCATATAAAAAAAAAATAATAATTATATAAAATTTTATGCATATAATAATTAATATAATTACGTATATCACAATTTAAGTTTGTGCTAATTTTTTTTCTTAACTTATTTCACGCATTATGATATATTTTACTTGTAATAATTTTTTTTATTTTATATTATGATATTTTTTCTATTTTTTTTTTTTTTTTTTTTTTTTCACTGTACTAACATTGTTTGAGCTTTAGAAGAAAAAAAAATTGTACTTTTAGTTTAAATTTTTTTCTTCTAGAAATTCTAGAATTTAAGTTGCTCCTATTTTATAACATTGAGATTTGTGAATGATTTCATAGTAACACATTTTTTAATTATCTTAATCATCTTACAATATAAGCATATATTATTTTTTTCCTTTTTAAATTACACTTTTTTTTTTTTTTTTTTTTGCTTTATTCTATAGAAAATGTATTTCTATTTTTTTCAAGTGGTACTTTTTATATTAAGTGCTTAATGATAATATTTAAATTTTATCGTAATACTTTACAAAGTAATAAAAGTACCTAAATATATATTATATAGTACTATAAATGAAATAATTCTTATAATAAAAAATTCTTAAATTTTTGAAAATTCTATGAAAAAAAAAAAAAAAAAATAAAAATGCTATAAAGAATTCTTGAAAGAAATAAAATAAAGGAAAAAACCTTATAATAAAATAGTTGGTAAAAATGATATTTTTACATAAAAAAAAAAAAAAAAAAAAAAAAATCATTAAAATTTTAATATTTTACAGTAAATTTTTAAAACAAATTTTATTTAAAAAAATTTCAATATCAAAAGAATGTAAAATATACTCTTAAAAAAAAAAAAATGTAATTTTTAACTTAATCGAAGTTTTTATTATGTATGAAAATGTAAACCTTAAATATATATATATATATATGTAAAAGGAAAATATATTGAAATGAAAAAATTAATAAATACTTTTTTGCCTTACTATATTCATAACAATAACTTAACGACAAATCTAACCTTCAAAAAAAAAATATCCTTTTTTTTTTTCTATGTAGATCGTTATATTTATTCTCCCTTAATTAACAGTTTGTTAAAAAATAAAAATGCTCAAGAAAAAAATATAATAAAAAAAGTATATACAAAGAAAATATTTGATATATTAGGTTTAAAAAATAACTATAATAAAAAAAAAAATGAAAATGTAGAAAATATAAATGATATATATAAAAAGTATACAAAATACACAAAATGCAGTAAAGAAGCTATTGATAAAAATTCTAATAACACTAATGATATTAATTATAAAAATTTTTATAATAATGAAGAAATGAATGCAATATGGCCAGATAGGATATTTTATGTAACACCTTTAGAAGTTAAAAAAAAAATAGAAAATGAAAAATTTAACGTAATTTATATTGGTCATATGAGCATTTTAGTACAAATAAAAAATTTTAATATATTAATAGATCCAGTTTTGTCTAGTAGGATTGGATTTTTTAATATTTTAGGAGTAAAAAGAACAATAAAAGCAGGAATATCTTTTGAAAATTTACCTAGTATTGATTTTGTATTATTAAGTAATAATAGATTTGATATAATGGATAAAAATACATTAAAAAAAATTATATTAAGAGATAATAGTATCGTTATAGGTGGTATGAATATAAGAAGATATTTGTTTAAAAGAAATTTTCCAGTAGTTTATCCTTTGAATTGGTTTAATAAATTAACTTTTGAAAATATTTCATTTTATTATTTACCTTCTTTAACTAATAGTCATAGATATTTTATTGACAAAAATATATATTTACCAGGCTCATTTTTAATCCATAATAGTACCAATAATAGTTCTATTTTTTACAGTGGGCATTCAGGTTATTCCAATCATTTTTTACAAATAAAAAGTTATGTTAATACTATATTAAAAAATGATAGAATCGATTTATCAATTTTACCAATTGGTATATATAAACCTAGTTCTTTATATAACCATTTTCATATGTCTCCTAAGCAAGCATTACAAGTATAAATTATATAAGTTATTTTTTCAAATATTTTTTGAAATATATAATTAATTTTTTATTTTCTTAATATTTTGAAAATATTTTTTTTAATTTTTATTTTTTTTCAATTTCTTCTATTTTCAGTCACATTTTGATTTAAATAGTAAAAAGTCATTAGGTATAGGAAGTGACGTTTTTTGTCTAGGAGGAGAAGAATATAATGAAGCTACAAATGAACTTCAAAATATTTTGAATATTTATGAAAAAGAAAAAAAAAAAAAAATAGACTTCATTACATTACAACCAGGTCAAAATATTATTCTTTGATTTCAAATTGTATAAGAATAGAAAAGAAAAATTTATTATAATATATATAAAGATAAAAAAAATAGTTAACCAAATAAATAAAATGACAATATCTAAAAAAAAAAAAAAAAAAACATTCACAATTATAATTAAAAAAATGAGTATATTTTTTATTATTTTTAATAATTAATATTTATATATTTTAAGTAAATTTTTTGTAATGCATATATATATATATATAACTTTCTCTTTATTCATAAGCTGTAACTAAAGCTTTAAAACATAATTTTTTTCTTTTATTATATTCATTTTCTTTCTCCATTATATCCGTATTCATTTTTTCTAAATTGTCTTTTATTTTCTAAAAAATTAGATAATCCATAAAAATATAAGTAAATATACTCTTTAAATAATGTTAAATAATTTCTTTTTTTATAATTGTTATTGTATATATATATATATATATATATGTAAATACCCTGACAAGTATTTGGCTTTTATTTAATATTTCGCTTGCTGAAAGAATCGACTTCCCCTCTTCATATAGTTTTTTTATATCATTTTTATTTACGTTAATTTTTTTTATACTTTCCATTAAAACCTAAAAATATATATATATTTTATGAATATTAACATAATTGATTTATATTTATAATTTTTCAAAATATAAAATAATTTTAATTTATATCACAATAATTTTACTATTATATTCTATTTTATTACGTTTATCTCTTTGGTAAATATATTTATCTCTTTCTCAGTACTTGAAATAATATTTTTTTTTTTTTTTTCATATTTCTTGTTTAGTTCTTCTCTTCTTATTTTTTGTTTCTAGATTAAAAAAAAAAAAAAAAAGCGCCAATTAATCATTTCAATTTTTTCTCTTTTTTTTTTTTTTTCACATATTAGAACCTCTACTAATAATTTAATTTTGCTGTCTATTTCACTAAGAGCATCAGCAAAACTTTTTTTTAAATTCATTTTAAATTTTTCCTTTTTTTCTTTATGACAAGAAATAATTTTCTCTATTATTATTTCTGTATCACTATCTCTTTCTAAGGCATTCTGAATTTCTAATTTCGTCTTAAAAAGTAAACCAAAACAATGATATATATTTATTTTTTCTATAAATTTATATCAACATTAATAATAATTACACGGAAATTTAAATATTATAAAACTTTATTAATTTTATAATTATACTTGTGGTATGTTTAAATCTAATTTAAAATTATGATCAATCAACAAACTATTATTCTCCAACTTTTTTTTAAAATCATTTTTATTTTCATATCCTTTTATATAACTTTTTATTTCTAATGACCCTTCAGATTTTAATATATCCTTTTCTATAAGTTTTTTATTTTTTTCTAAATATTCAAAAAAAATATATTTAATTGTTATATATATAACTATATGTATAATCCAATGAGATTATTTATATTTAGTTTTTTTTATATGAATTTATTAACTATTTAAATAAATTTTTCTTAATACATTTTTTTTTTTTTTATATATAATTTTTATTAAAATAAATCACTGTCTTATCTTTTTTTTTTTTTTTTTCTTTTAACCTTCATACTTTAATGTTTCTATTCTTTTTCCTGTGTTGTTTTTTAAAAGCTTGTCTCTGAAAGAATTAATCAATTTATCATTTCCTTTATCTACTTTTGAAAAACTAACAACGTTATTTATATACATATATATATATATTAATTTATAAAATTGTATCTTCATATTTACATATTATAAATACAAAATTCTCTATTTAAAGAAATATATTTATATATATATATATATTTTTTTTTTTTTTTTTAAAACCTAATTTCCTTATCAATAAGTGGTTCTTTTGAAAAAAATAAAGTTTCATCAAATTGTTCTTTTATATTTTTTTTCTATCAAAAAAAAAAAAAATAAACAGTACTTATTTTTATTTATTCTTTTTATAATATTTTTTTTTTTTTTTTTTTTTTTTTTTT